AGCACACTGGAACTCACATTGAGACAGTTTATACATCAAGCAAACAGATCCTATGCATCACACATAAAAACCCCCGACTGTGTGTAGGCAGGAAGGAAAGCAAACAAATTCTGTTTTCACTCATTTGCACATTACATTACCATAAGTTTTACCCTTTCCAAATAATCTGCAGATGGAAAATTAGGCAATGTGCTGCTGTAAATCACTGTTAGTGCTGGGGTGATGGCAGGAGAAAACAGTTAAGGGATTCATTTTTCTTCCAAGAAAATCATACTTTTCAAATCCATCAGAATCCCAGCCAAAGGATTACTTCTTATCTGGCTGTAACAAAGGCTCTCTGCACCAGTCTTGAATGTAAAAAGAAACCACCTCATTGCACTAAATAGTACCCTGCACTCCAAGGTCAGCTCTGTCGCCTGGCTTTGCAAGAGGCAGTGTGCTTGTGTTTGCACAAGGGCGAAATCAACCTCACACCCGGATGTACTTAGGGCTTTTACGCTTCCTGCCTGAACAGTTTCTAAGAGAGTCTGAGAGCTCTAAAGTTTAGGTCTTTATTGGCCCTTCTGGTGGTGCCCATTTTCTGGATTGGTGGATTGGATGTGACAGAGGCAAACTTAGAATTTATGACCCTCTATCTCCCCAGAGGAGGTCCTTCTAGGAGCCTAGGGAGTCATGCATGTTACAAAGAAGGGTGAGGACCGGAGAAACAGGGCAAGCTCGGACTCCCTGAGCCTAGAGTTCACATTGCTGCCGCACAGGTCCACGTGATAGGACTATTTCGGATGGGCTCAGAGTCCTGAAACTCTCCAGTGCAACTTCCCACCAGCCTGCCACCCCTACGGTGCCATAAGGATCCTGCTGACTTACTGACAATAGCGAAAGTATGGAAAGAGGCCAAATGTCCATCAAATGATGAATAGATAAAGATGATGTGGTGTATATATATACAGTGGAATATTACTCGGCAATCAAAAAGAATGAAGTCCTGTCATTTGCAACAAGATGGCTGGACCTATGGTGTATTATGCTAAGCAAAATTAGAGAAAGGCAAACATATGACTTGACTCATATAATCTAAAAAGAGGGAGGGGCACAAAACATAAGAGACTCTTAAATACAGAGAGTTTGTTCTCTGTATTTAAGTGGGGGATGGGGGTATTGGTGGGGTATTGGGATGGGGGATGGGCTAAATGGGCAAAGGGCATTAAGGAGGACACTTGTTGGGATGAACATTTGGGTGTTACATGTAAGTGATGAATCACTAAATTCTATTCCGGGAATCATTATTACACTATATGTGAACTACCTTGGATTTAAATTAAAAAAAAAAAATTTTTTAAAGAGTAATCCTGCTGAAACTCTATATGTGTATGTGCACAGACCAGAATTCATTTTTCTTTGAATCCGTTCCATTCATTAAATGTATACATTTTCCAGTATTAGGAAGACAGAAAACGTCAGAATTTCCAAGGAGTGTCTTCTAAGGCATGAATCAGGGAAAATACTGAGTGGAAAAAGAAAAAAAAAAAAAAAAGACAAACGAGACTTCATGTTCCTAGTTGGGGAATTCAGAACAGGTATAAAAATGGTACCAGTATTCCAAGGTAACAGCTTATAAAGAGATAGCTTAGTTGCCGAGTGCATTGCAAAATGAAATGAGCTATGGCACTATCAACTGATGATTTCTTCTAGGAGGACACAGCTATTTGGTCTGACTTACGCTGAAGTTGTAAGGAGGTTGGAAACTTCAGTGCTTTTTTTCACCCTCTCACAGTCTAAAAATGGTTGGGGTCACACATTTGATTTGGCAGATAAGATTAATGATGTTGATTTTAGGTTTACTTTTTGGGAAACTAAGAATCCCGGCAGCCAGCAGCCACCAATTCTTCCAGAATATGTAAAGCCAAGAGAAGAATTTTCAGGTGGGAAAATACTGAAGTTTTAGAAACTCCTATTCAGCATAGATGCGGCAATAACTCCTTGTTATTAACTACTTTTTGAAGCAAGCTGAAATTCACTTTCATGTATTTTCAAGCTTCACTAAAAGATACCCTGGGGTTTGGCCAAGGATACATACAGGAGGTGCCAATCAGATATTCTTTTTAATGGAGATTCTTAGGCTTGCTTGCTGGTAACTTATCTGTAACATATGCACATAAATGTTCAATCCAAGCAACAGACTATCACCAAGACCCAGAATTATTTTTTGTGCCTCCTTCCAACCCATAATACCATCCCTTCCCTCAATGCTATCTAGATTTGCAGCACAAGAAATCAGTTTGCCCTGTTTTGACTTTTATGTAAATAGAATTATTACTAGTAACTTTTGTATTTGATTCCTGTTATGCCACATTTTGTGGGTAAGGTTTATCCATGATGTTGTATTTAACAGTAGTTTTATTGGATATGGTTCTCTTCTGTGACTATTCCACAGTTCTTTTATCCAATTCTACTGTTGATAAATAGTGGGTTAATTTCAGTCAAATTTGACAAATGATGCCACTATGGATTTTCCTGTGATGAAATGTATTTCTCTTGAGCCTATATTATACGTGGAAATTTAGGTCATGGTGATTATGTCTATTCAACCTTAGTAGATATTACCATAATAGTCTTTAAACATGGAAGTAAAATTTACACTCCTTCCACCAGCGTGGGAAAGTTCCAATTTCTCTGTATCGTTGCTAACACTTGGTATCTTTTTTGTTTTAGCCATTCTGGAACGGTGCAGTGATAATGGTGCTTCTCTACTTTAGTTACTAAGTTTTTAATTGTATTTTCTGGGAAGGAGACCAGTTTTGGAGTTGGTCTGCCAGATGTACAGAGTGGCCAGGGCAGGAGGGATGGGGAACAGTCCCCGATGAGAAATCACCCTCACCAGGCAGTAGCCATGTTGCCAAGGAAAGAATGTATGACACGGGTACAGAGCTGGGCACTTGTGAGGCACGAGTGCACAGCACAGGAAGGAGGTGAGATCTCTGCAGTCAAGTAGGTAGCTGGGGGAGGCATGGGGAGGTCAGAGGAAGTGCAGCAGGCACAATAAGAAGCAGGTGGGGTTATGGAAGTTGCAGAAGAACTCCCACCTGAAGGTTAAACAAAACCTTAGTGCCTCACCACCCCTCCTACTGCTCAGTTAGCCAGCCATCGTGCACCTGCCAGGACCGTGACCTTCAAGGTAAGACTGTATTTGAGCAGCCCAGTGAGCACTGCTGCTGAGCTGGGGAGTACCGCCTCTGCTGTGCATTGATGATGCCACTCTCCCACTCCAGGCCAGAGATGGTGCCCTGACACCAGACTTCAGGATCAAATCTGCCAGGCCAACGTACAGGTAATCTCTGAAGGAGAGCATGCAGGAGCTTACTGTAAGTCAGATTCAGGGAGTCCAACACGTTTCCCTACCGATAGTTCTTGCCCTTTTTTCACTGGAGGGTAGACTTTCTCATTGAGGTTTCTGAAAGTCTTGTGCCCATCTGTGAAAAAGCTGAGCTTGTCCTCTTGGGCAATGACCTCCTTGAATAGTTGATGATGACAGTTGAGACCTACCACATGTAGCATCCCCTTGTCCATGCAGTTGGAAGGACTGTTACTGGGGAGAACCACCTGTCTCCCATGGGCCACAAGTCTGCTCAGGATGGCAAAGATTTCTTCCTTTCTCAAGATGAATTTCTCCATGTTGCACTGGACCCACTGGTATAGGAGACCCTTTTTGGAACATGTCAACCAACCTCGATCACTTCCTTATAGAGACCCACTTGGACACACTCCATGTCCTGGGCCAGGAAATGGTCCATCATGCAGGAGACCAGTGCCATCTTTGGCGGCAGGAAGATGTCCGTGAACTGCCGGATAGAGGGACTTTGGCTATAGTGCAGTGGGGTATGCTGGGTACCCCCATATCACTTTTTGGTCCCGCACAGTTGGAGGCCCTGGAGGTTGTCCTTATTTGCACATAATGGAAGGCCTCTGTCTTCATCAGGAGGCTCTCAGGAATGTTTTAGGGTACGTGGATAGCAGAGTTTGGGTTGTAGTCAAGCATCTGAATCCCTGCTGGGTACTTGTAGTACTCAGTCAGGATGTCCTTTCTTGCACTGAATGTCCCCCAGTGTTGTTGCTCGGTGTACTGTGCCAGCGTGTAGTTGTGGTGGAAACTGTAGACTTCTGCATCACTCAGGCTGAGCTTGGTGTTGCTGTAGATGGCTGCGGGCTACAGAAGACTGACGACCTGGGAGAGGCAGTGGGAGGCACTGCAGGAGAAGTCTCGCGTGTCCTCGTGAAGAGCTTACAAATGTGTGTCAGGCTTGGTGCTTCTTGCAGGCGCAGAGCATGCACTGCCCAGGCAGAGGGTTCTAGACTGAGGAGGCTGCAGCCATGACTGGAGGCAAAGAGAAGGCAGCTGCCAAAACCCCACATGTGGCATTCCCACCGAGAGCCACCAGGGTGGCTGGGTGGTGAAGCCCGTCCACCCCTCTAACTTCCGGCATCTCTGTGGTTTGCACTTACATTTACATAACCAGTGAGAATGAACATCTTCTTTATATTTATTACCCGTTTGGATATGTTTTTGTTGAAGTGATTTTTTTCAAGGTAAATTTTCTTTTGGCCTTTTGGTTTTTAAGATTTGTGGAAGTTTACATGTGTGTGTGTGTGTGTGTGTGTGTGTGTGTATACATAGATGTACATCTATATATGTATATATATATTTACATACACATATTCTTTGAGACTTCTTTTTAGTAATATGCCCTATGAACATTTTTGTTTACCGGATGTCTTGCTTTTTCATTTTCTTACTGATGATTTTTGATGAATTGATGAATTGAAATACTTAATTTTTATAAAAAATTTTAGGTATTTGATTTTGAGAGAGACAGAGCATGAGTGGGGACAGGCAGAGAGAGCGAAGGAGACACAAAATCTAAAGCAGGCTCCAGGCTCTGAGCCGTCAGCCCAAGAGCCTAACATGGGGGTCGAACGCACAAACTAGGAGATTATGGCCTGAGCTGAAGTCAGATGCTTAACCGACCGAGCCACCCATGTGCCCCTGAAATACTTAATTTTTAATACAAGTCTTATTTATTTTGCTTTTTGGGTAAACTTGATATCCTATTTAAGAAATCATTACGTATTCCTGAAGTTATAAAATTATTCTTCTATGTTCTCATCAATTGCACTTTTTTAGATTTACGTATTTTGACACCTAAGAGAGAGAAAGGAGACAGAGTGAGACCATGTGTGAGAGCGTGCAAGCAGAGGAGGAACAGGGAGAGAGAGATAGAATCCCAAGCAGGTTCTGGGCTATCAATACGGACCCCACCCTGAGGCTCCATCCCATGAACCGTGAGATCATGATCGGAGCCAAAACGAAGAGTTGGACACTAAACCACTTGAGCCACCCAGGCGCCTCCAGCTGTATGTTTTGAAATAAATTCTTCATCAAGAGAAGAGACAACATGATAATAATAAAAGCATTACTAGTAAGATCACATACAATTAAGAAGCAGTTAACCTCCTTCATAGATTTAAAACTTGAATGTAGCAATGTAGAAATGAGGAAATGTTGACAGAAAATTACACGATTAAAAAAATATACGGTGATTTTATGTATAAAAAGGCATTTTTTAAATCAGTGGGGATACAAAAATCCTTTAACGAAGTATGTTTCCACATTGAGAGTGCACTAGGAGAAAATAAGGTGTATACCCTCCCTTATTTTTTTGCTCAAAAGTAATATTCCATGGGCTCCTGGGAGCTCAGTTGAGTGACTGCCTGTTGGTTTCAGCTCAGGTCACAGTCTCACAGTTCTGAAACTGAGTTCCTTGTTGGGCTCCTTGTCGGGCCATGGAACCTGCTTATGATTCTCTACCTCTCTGTTTCTCCCCTCCACTTCTCCCTCCCTCCCTCTCTCTCTCTTTCAAAAAAAAAAAAAGATTCCAGATTAATCAAAAATTTAAAGATAAATCATAAAGTACTGGAAAGATTTTTTTTTTCTTACGGTGACACTTGAGGGAGTAAACATGTCTCTAGACTTAACTACTGAACAGATATTTTTTAGTGTAGACTTGACAATTTTTAAGTATGTGAATATATCTTCAAAAAGTATAATATTTTTCATTTTCGTAATGTTCGAAAAATCAGCGTGTGTATTTGCAATCAATGAGGAACATAAAGGATTCCTCCATTATAAAAACTCCCTAATCACCAGGAAAAACAAAGATACCCATTTCAAGTAAATAGAATGTGGCATGTGTGTTCAAGGGCTACAGGTCTGTACTTCACAGAAGGAAAAATGCCACCAGCCAAAACCATATAGACATATGGACAACCTGACATACAGTGAAAAACATTTATATTGAATCAATGAAATATGCGTGTGTTTGTGTGTGTGGATGCCATGGTTTCAGGAAGAAATCATTTCCTATGAACAGAAATTTAAACAGAGTACGTTTTGTCAATAACTATTGAAATTGAAAACTCACATACATGTTAACCCACCAAGTCCAACCTAAGTCATTTTTTTCTATTATACTTCCATGGAAAGTTAATAAAAAAAAACAATTTCATTTACTTCATTTAGAATTTGGAAGCCAGCATTTTTTCCAGTAGAAAAATAGGTACATAAAGGCATAATAAGACACCCACATACTTATTTTCATACTGGAAACTGTATCTAAGACAGCTTAAGTCAGCACATGGAAGAAAAAAGGAAACCGTATGTTTATTTGATTGATGTTTTGGCAAAAATACAATTATGGGGGCGCCTGGGTGGCTCAGTCGGTTGAGCGTCCGACTTCGGCTCGGGTCATGATCTCGCGGTCTGTGAGTTCGAGCCCCGCGTCGGGCTCTGGGCTGACAGCTCAGAGCCTGGAGCCTGCTTCTGATTCTCTGCTCCCCCTCTCTCTCCACCCCACCCCTGCTGTACTCTGTCTCTCTCTGTCTTTCAAAAATGAATAAACATTAAAAAAAATACAATTATGCATGAAGCATTTTTGGAGAAATTCACAAGAAACCAGAAACAAGTATACTTTGAGAGGTTGGTGGTATTTGGAATCTTTTGCTGTTCATTTTATAATCTTGTATACATTTTGAAATTTTTATATAAGCATATATTTTTATAATGAAAAAGAAAAAGTTTCATTTCTCTGAATTTCAGAAACTGAATCCTTCGCTAGACGTACTTCGTTACTATGCTGTTTTCATAACCGAGTTGGAAAAGATTACATCATTTTGTTAAAAAAAGGTGAAATTGGTGAAGCTACGCTTACAATTTCTGATTGCGTAGAGCTGGCAAAAATGAAAAAAAAATACTGAATTGAAAATTCGTAAACAGTACTGTTTCTGGATCTATTTGGTTTCAAATCCATTTACCATTTATAAGTGCCATGTCAATTAGGTCAATTATGCTCTCTGGTCATTTTCTCTTCTTTTTTTTTTAAATTTTATTGAGATAATTTTCCTGTATATTGTATTTACCTACAGGATTAAATGGAAGCATGAAGAAGCACTTTATTTTTATAGATACTTATCCTCAAGTATCTCTAGACAATTGTGCCAAGAAACAAAAAGAGGGTTAAATTTATGTCATGAACTGTATTGTATATTCATGACTTTTCTAGTTCTCTTCTCTATCTGCTAGAGTAAGACCTGGAATGGTCTTCAAAAATATTCTCACTTAGACATGTTGACTGGACAAGTTTTCTCAATTCTCTGACCTTAGAGGCGTCTGCTGGTCAGCAAGGTCTCCCCTGATCCCAAAGGCAGGAAAAGTACCTCTCTGTCAAGATACCCCCAGGTTGCTGTCACGCTCTCGCGGGATTACCGACTACTTCTCCGTAAATCCTGGGTCCTTCCAGACCCTCCCAATCACATTCCTGTCACAGATTCTGCTGCCACCAGGTCCACTGCTCTTGCTGCCTAACTACTTGGTAGTTGGTGTTTCTGGAAAGAGAATCGTTTCCTCACAAATTCTTAAAAGCCTTTTTGGGGACACACACAGTTATTTTATTAGCAATTTGTTGCTTCGACTATTTTTTTAACATACACCTACCATGTACATGCGAAACTAATACAATGTTGTAACTTATTTCATATATGTGTATATGGCACAATGATCAACACTGTAAGTCTAGTCAATATCCATCACCAGTTACAAATTTTTGTTTCCTTGTGATGAGACATTTTATGATCTCTCATAAGCAATTTTCAAATACACAAATTATAGTATTACTAACTATAGTCACCATGCTGTACATTAAATTCCCAAGACTTAATTATTTCCTAGCCGGAAGTTTGTGGTTTTTCTGTTGACTTTTTGTTTTTTCGATTTGACATACAAGTGCGATCATAAGGTTATTTGTTTGACTTGTTTCACTTAGCATAATGCCCTCAAGTTATATCCCTATTGTTGGAAGTGGTAGGATTTTCTACATTTTTATGGCTAAATAATACTCTGTGTGTTTATAAACATTTTCTTTCAACATTCATCCACTGATGGACACTTAGGTTGTTTCTCTGTGGCAACTTATTTATTGTAAGTAACACTGCATGAAGCTGCACAGAACAGGGAGATAAAGAAATCATTTCAATTCAAATCATTTCCTTTGAATAAATATGCAGAAGTACGATTGCTGGATCGTAGAGTACTTCATTTTTGAAATTTTTGATGAACCTCTTTTCTGTTTTCCCTAGCGGGCCTCACCAATTTACATTGCCACCAACAGTGCATGAGGATTCCTTTTTCCCCCACGTTCTTGCCAACAATTGCCATTTCTTGTCTTTTTTATAATAGCCATGCCAACAGGTGAGAAGTGATACCTTGTTGTAATTTTGATTTTTATCCCTGATGATTAGTGATGTTGAGCATCTTCTCATGTACCCTTTGACCATTTGTATGTCTTCTTTAGGAAAATATCTATTCAAATGCTCTCTTTTTTTTTATTGAATTGTTTTTTCTCTGAGTTCTTTATATACTTTGGATATTAATTCTTTATCAGGTATATAATCTGCAAACATTTACTTCGATTTGGTAAGTTGACTTTTTATTTTGTTGGTGGTTTTATCTGCTGTGCAGAAGCTTTTTAGTTTGATGCCTACTTTTAAAATTTTTGATGTCTTTGCTTTCTGCTGTGAAATCCAAGAAATTGTCAAGATTTTCAAGATTGCTTTGGTTACGTGGGCAGTGGGGGGAGTCTTCTCTGGCTCCATAGAAATTTTAGTATTCTTTATTTTTATGAAAAATGCCATTTGATTTATGATATGGATTGCATTGAATCTATAGTTTTGAGTGGTATGGTCATTTTAACAATAGTAATTCTTCTAATCTGTGATCTCAGAATATCTTTGTGTCATCATCAATTTTTTTTAATCAACGTCTCAGAGTTTTCACTGAATGAGCCTTGTACCTCCTTAACTAAATTTAATCATCTGTATTTTATCTTTTTGTTGAAATTGTCAATGAGCTTTTTCTTTTCAGTTTTTCTCTCTTATAGTTCATTACTACTCTGTAGAAATGCACCTGATCTTTATGTATTGATTTTTGCATCCTGTAATTTACCATGTTCACTTACTCTGACAGTTTGTCAGTGGAATCTGTAAGGTTTTCTCAATATGAGAGGATATCATCTGCAAGTAGAGAAAGTTTCACTCCTTCTTTTCTGAGTGGGATGCCTTTGATTTATTTTTCTTGCCTAATAGCTCTGGTGGAGATTTGCACTTGTATGTTAAATGTGAGTGGTGAGAGTGGACGTATTTGTCTTCGCTGTAATTTGAGAAGAAAACCTTTCAGTTATTCACCATAGAGGATGAAATTAGCCGTAGCTTAACATATATGATCTTTATTACGTTAAAGTAGTTCGATCTATACCTGCTTTGTTGAGAGTTCTTACCATAAAGGGATGTTGAATTTTTAAAATGTTTTTACTGCATCTACTGAGACCATCATAGGATTTTTTAATTTTGTTGTTTTTGTTCACTTTGTTTTATTGTGTTGGTTTTGATCCTTTGTTTTGTTAGTGTGGTGTATCACACTGATTGGTTTACAAAAGTTGAACCATTCTTGTATCTCTGGAATAACTCTCACTTTTGATCAGTGTGATCTTTTTTAAAGTGTTGCCGAAATAGGTTCACTCATACTTTGTTCAACATTTTGCACCTATTGTCTCTGGGAATATTGGCCTGTAATTTTCTCATGGCATCCTAGTCTGGTTTTGATATCAGGGTAATGCCGACCTTGTAAAATAAGTGTAAAAGTTGTTCCTTTTCTGTTTTTAAAAAAAGTTTGAGAAGGAGTGGTATTAATTCTTCTTGAAATGCCTGGTGAAACTACTAGTGACGCCATCTGGTCGTGGACTTTTGTTTTTGGGGAGAAAAACGGACTACTTAAAAGAGGTTTTTTTAGTTAATTTTCTCCAAA